GGATAGATTTTTTTCTTTTGGACTGGGTGAATTTAATTGATACTTACAGAATACTTCATATCAGAACAGCAGAATACATTCTTTTCAAATGCACACAGAACATTCTCTAAGATAGACCACATGCTAGAACACAAAATAACTTGAACAATTAACAAAATAAAATAAAACAAAAGGTAACTTTCCCTCTGAAGAGATGAAAAAAGAAAAAAAGAACACAAAGTAAGTCTTAATAAATTCAGGAAGACTGAATTATATCAAGTATCCTCTCTGACCACAATGGTATGAAACTAGAAATCAATTACAATAAAAAAAAAACAAACCTGAAAAACACTTAAACACATGGAGGCTAAATAACATGTCATTAACCAATAAATGGGTTAACAATGAAATAAGGGGGAAAAAAGTTACTTGAAGTCAAATGATGAACACACAACAACCCAAAATCTATGGGATACAACAAAAGCAGTCCTGAGAAGGAAATTCACAACATTACAGGCCTATCTCAAGAAGAAAAATCTCAAAACACTCTAACCCTACACCTAAAAAAACTAGAAAAAGAACAAACAAACCCCAAAGTAAGTAGAAGGTAGGAAATAACAAAGATAAGAGTGGATAATGGCATAGAGACAAAACAACAACAACAACAACAACAACAACAACAACAACAAACCCAAAAGATCATGAAACCAAGAACTGGTTCTTTGAAAAGATAAAAAAGATTGACACACCTTTAACCAGACTCATCAAGAAAAAGACAGCACCCAAATAAATAAAACAGAAATGAGAGAGGATAAATAACAACTGACACCAAAGAAATACAAAGGCCTGTAAGAAAATATTATGAACAACTATATGCCAACAAATTGGACAACCTGGATGAAATGGCTAAATTCCTAGAAACATACAATCTTCCTAAACTGAATCAAGAAAAATCAGAAAATCTGAATATAGCAATTACAATTAATAAAATCAAAGTAGTAATAAAAAATCTCCCAGGAATCAAAAATCCTGGAGCAGATGGCTTCACAGGTGAATTTTACCAAACATTCGAAGAAGAATGTTATTATCCTCTCTTTCACACACTATTCAAAATAATTCAAGAGGAGGGAAGACTTTCAAGATCATTTTATGAGGCCAGCATTATCTTAATTCCAACCAGATAAAAACACTACAAAGAAAGAAAATTATAGGCCAGTATCGCTGATGGGCACAGATGCTAAAATCCTCAACAAAGTGTCAGCAAACCAGATCCAGCATTACATTAAAAAGATCGTTAACCATGATCAAGTGGGATTTACTCTGGGATGCAAGGTTGATACAATATTCCCAAATCAGTAAGTGATGTATCACATAAACAAAATGAATAAAAATCACATGATCATATCAACAGATGCAGAAAAGGCATTTGATGAAAATCCAGTACCCATTTATGACTAAAACTCTCAGCAAAGTGGGAATGAAGGGATCATACCTCAACATAATAAAGGACATATATAACAAACCCACTGCCAATATCATACTCAATGAGCAAAAACTAAGAGTTCCCTATAAAAAAATCATGGTACAGGCATAAGAACAGGCATATAGATCAATGAAACAAAATAAAGAGTTCAGAAATAAACCCATGCATATATGGTCAACTAATATTGGGCAAAGGAAGCAAGATCATACAATGGGGTAAAGGTACTCTATTCAATAAATGGTGTTGGAAAAACTGAACAGATACATGGAAAAAAAAAAAGCCTCAAAACTAGACCACTGACTTACACCTACACAATAATAAACTCAAAATGGATCACAGGCTTAAATGTAAGTCACAAAACCACAAAAATCCTAGAAGAAAGCATAGGCAGTAAAATTTCAGACATTTTTTGTAGCAATATTTTTGCCAATATAACTCCTTGGGCAAGGGAGACAAAGGAAAAAACAAATGGGATGACATCAAACTAAAAAGCTTTTTGCACAGCAAAAGAAACCACCAACAAAATGAAAAGGCAACCCACTGTATGGGAGAACATAAAGAGTATTCACCACTGATATGTCTGATAAGGAGTGAATTTCCAAAATATATAAACACTTGAACATCAAAACAAACAATCCAATTAAAAAATTGGTAAAGGGCCTGAATAGATACTTCCCCAGAGGACATACAAATGGCCAATAGACATGAAAAAATGCTCAACATCACTAATCATCAGAGAGATGCAAATTAAAATGACAATGAGGTATCAACTGACACCTGCCAGAATGACTACCATCAATAAACCAACAAAACAACAAATGCTGGCGAGGATGTGGAGAAAAGGGGACCCTAGTGCACTGTTAGTGGGAATACAGACTGGTATGGCCATTGTGGAAAACAATGTGGAGTTTCCTCAAAAAATTAAAAATGGAACTGCCTTTTGACCCAGAGATCTCACTGCTGAGTATATATCCTAAGAATCCCAAAACACCAATCAGAAAGAATACATGCACCCCTGTTCATAGCACCGTATTTACAATGGCTAATATCTGGAAACAGCCCACGATCCCATAAGTAGATGAGTGAATAAAAAAGCTGTGATACATTTACACAGTGGAATATAATGCAGCTGTAAAAGGAAGAAACTTTTACCCTTTGTGATAGCATGGATGTCCTGGATATTATTATGCTAAGCAAAATAAGCCAGTCAGAGAAAGAGAAATACCATATGATCTTACTAATATGTGGAATATAATGAACAAAATCAACTGACAAACAAAAGAGAACTGAGGCATTGTGGATATATGGAACAGACTGACAAATGCCAGGAAATAGGGGGGACTGGATAAAAGAAGATGAAGGGGTGAGCTAAAGAACATACATGTACAGCTCAGGGACACAGACAATGTGGTGAAGGCCAGAGGAAAGGAGGGCTGGGGCTGGGTGGAGGTGGCAAAGGGAGGAAAAATGGGGGACATTTGTTATAGTTTCAACAATGAAAAATAAAAAAATAAAGAAGACTATTCCATTTGGATGCATTTCTTTTACCTGCTACAGAACACCCAACAAACCTCTAGTACTGCCTGTCCTTCACTGAAAATCTCAGCAATAATACCATGGAGTTGGGGCATGATTTTGTGAATTTTTTCGACCTTTTGGAAAGCAGTTTAGTAATCATCAACAAGAGCCATAAAAAATGTTCATACCCTTTGATGCAGATTTCCAGATATAAAGACAAGATTTCCAGAAAATTATCCCAATAAAATGGATTCAAAAGAAAAGTGAAATTCACACACATCAAGTTCTTTATTGCCATTTTCTCTAAAATAGAGAAAAAATAGAGAAATGGCTTAGATGTTCAATACTATAGAAATGCTTAGCTAAATTATGATACACACAAATACTTGCTGGAGTATTATATGTTTCCTAAAATGACAATTATTATCACTAAATGACAGCATGGAAAATTTTAAAAATAAAATGCTAAATGATAAAAAAAAATGGGCAAAGGATGTGAATAGACACTTCTCCAAAGACAATAGACCTATGGTCAATATAAAAAGATGCTCAATGTCATTAATCATGAGAGAGATGCAAATTAAAACCACAATAAGATATCGCCTCATGCCAGTCAGAATGGCTATCATCAATAAATCAACAAACAATATTTGTTGGTGAGGATGTGACGAAAAGGGAACCCCAGTGCCCTGCTGGTGGGAATGCAGACTAGTGAAGCCAGTGTGGGAAACAGTATGGAGTTTCCTCAAAAAATTAAAAATGGCCCTGGCCAGGTGGCTCAGTTGATTGGAGTGTCATCCCATACATCAAAAGGTTTCAGCTTCAATCCCTGGTCAGGGCACATACCTCGTTTGTGGGTTTGATACCCAGTGTTTCTCTCTCACACCAATGTTTCTTTCTCTCTCTTCCCCTTCTTTCCTCTCTAAAATCAATAAACATATCCTTGGGTGAGGATTTAAAAAAAATTAAAAATGGAAATGCCTTTTGGCCCAGTGATTCCACTTCTGGGAACATATCTAAAGAAACCTGAAACACTAATTTGAGAGAATATATGCACCTTTATGTTCACTGCAGCATTACCTACAATAGCCAAGATCTGGAAACAGTTCAAGTGCTCATCAGTAGATGAGTGGATAAAAAAAGCTGCTGTGGTACCTTTACACAATGGAATACTACTTGGCCATAAAAAAGAAGGAACTCTTTTTGTGACAGCATGGATGAACCTGCAGTGTATTATTCTAAGTAAAATAAGCCACTCAGAGAAAGATAAATACCATATGATTTAACTTCTATATGAAATCTAATGAACAAAATAATTTAACAAACAAAATGGAATAGAAGCATAGATACACAGAACAGACTGACAGCTATCAGAGGGGAGAGGTGGTTGGGGACTGGGTGAAAAAGGTGATGATTAAGCAAAACAAAAAAACCATATATATATTTATATAATACACAGACACAGACAATAGTATGATGATAGGGAAAGGGGAGTAAAGCAAGGTGGAAGAGGGCAAAAAGAGAATAAAAGGGGACAAAAAGAGACTCTACTTTGGGAAGTAAGTGCACAATGCAGTATGCACATATTTTATTGAAGTGTACCCTCAAAACTTATATGGTTTTATTAACCATAAAGGACATGTTGGGACATGTTGTCCCAATAAATTCAATTAAAAATTAAAATAATATATGAGAGAGATGGATTAAAAGGGGGCATTAAGGAACTTCTAGATGTGATGGGTATGTTGACTATCATCATTGTAGTGACAGCCTCATGAATGTATATGTCAAACTTAGCAATATGTACAACTTAAGTATGTGTAGTTTACTGTATGTCAATTTTGCTTAAATAAATTACTTCAAAAAAGAGAAGCTTAGTGATAATCATAATATAAATAAACCTTAAAATTATGCTAAATGAAACAAAGCAACTACAGCCCTGGCCAATGTGGCTCAGATAATTGGAGCATTGTCCCATAACCAAAAGGTTGTGGGTTCGATTCCTGGTCAGGGCACATACCTAGGTTGCAGGTTCGGTCCCTGGTACGAGTGTGAACCATCCCTGGTCCAGGCGTGTACAGGAGGCAACCAATTCAGGCTTCTTTGTTGCATTGATGTTTCTCTCTGTCCCTTCCTCTTTCCTTTCCTCTCTCTCTAAAAAGCAATGAAAAAAAATGTCCTCAAGTGAGGATTAAGAAATGATAATAATAAAAAATTAAATAAGCAACCACAATCAACTACGTATTTTGTGATTCTGTTTAAATGAAATAAATGTCTAGAAACTGTACATTAAAAGTGGCAGGAAGGTGATGAGAGGTTTTGCATAGCTAGGGGTAGGAGTGGAGGCTGGGTAGATAGAAGGCCAAGATAACTATTCAGAGTGATGAAAATGTTTTAAAATTGGATTGTGCTGACAGTTGCACAACTCTAAAAATTCCATTAAAATCACTGATGTACGTTTATATGTGGTGAATTTGATGGTATGTAAATTAAACTTCAATAAAACTAATAACAACAAGACTTCCTTTTTCACACAACAAGAAAAAGAAGACATGAGAAAACACCAAATGCAACCGCAAAAAAGTGTCAAAGGGAAAACTACAGGTAGAAAAAAAAAGGCACAGTAAATTTCTAAGTGGAGTGGGAGAATCTGTGTAATCAGAAAGTCAAAATGGATTACTGAAATTATCATTAAATACTTTGAAATATTTTATATCACTACTATTTACATGAATGAATGCATTTGATTCCAGACACCATGCCACTGGTTCACCAACCTGTGCTGATACTACTGTGCTGAGTAAAAAATACAAATATAATCTCGTATGCAAGTATGTTGATGAGAAATTAAGTGATATAATCAATTGTTTCAATGTTTATATAGATGATGCCAAATATAAATAAAAAGTAACATTAAAAAAAAGGTTCTCACCACATGAACAGAATACAGGGTAAAGGAGATACTCTTACTTAAAAAATACAGTAAACTTGGAGGCAAGAACAAGAACTATATAAGAGTAAACACATTACTAGATTATTCAGAACCACATAGAACTTTGAACTGACAGTAAGAACAGTGGTGATGTGGTCACACAGGGAAGGGGCAGGAGAACTAAACAAGTAGACCAAAGCCAAGCCTGTTAGAGTCAGAGGCAGCTGCGAGGAAACCACAAGAAACTTACAAAAAAAATTCTTGCAAAGATTACTATCAATAGCTTGCTCATACCACAAGCATTTACTCATACTGTAAAAGGAAGCAGGCCAGAAAACATGTCTTGTAAAGGTTAAAGTTAAACCCAACTTCCCACCTTCCATTCTCTTATTTTCCCATACCAGTAATTTTCCATAAAACCTACAAATCGCTATAAACCCAACTTCTAGGGATCGTTGGGGGTCTCTTTTCTCTTGTGAGGAGAAATCTACTCTGACTGTGGTGTGGCTTTTCTTGCGTGTCCTCTCTGCTCAAAAAAAGCTGCTTTTCCAAGCATGCTCTCCTCCCTTGGTTTATTCTCTTGCCCCTCTTCTTCCCCCACAGGCCGCATCTCCTAAACTGTGAGGGTCCCCAGATATTTGCAACCAAGGAAGCAACAGACACCCGCCGCTCCTCCCAGGCTAACCCCCTGAACCTGTCTCCAAGGTCCCCTTTTCTCTGACTTCTCAGTAAGTTAAAGTAGCCCTGCTCATGTATGCTTTCTTCTGTTGCCTCTATCTTAAGCACTTTCTTGTTTCACTGTCCCCAGCTTTAATAAACGTACTCTTAAAACAAACAAATAAACCAAACCCCCCTGCTTTTCCACTTCCCTCCTAGGTTCATAGTTGAATTCTTTCTTGCGAGAAGCAGCTGTTTCACAGTCCCCATTAGGAACTCGCCCCTCGGGCACCAGTGGGACACACAAAAGTTTTAGTAAGATCCTCAGGAGGGCAGACTTAAACTTGAAGGAGAGCACAAAAATGCAATTCTCATGTCTGTTTCTGGCATTCAAGGTTTGAGCCGGAACCTAATGATTGTCCCAGGGCCCAGACCTCTCAACAGTGACAATCACACCGGGCGTCTCAATGACTGAGTCCTACACTAAACACATTAAATTCCAAACATGCTCCAAAAACCAAAAGGGACACCCCTGAACGCGGACTTCTCAGTCACTAAGCACCGCGTTCACAGACAGACTTTCCTCCCCAGCTCTCAACCGCTGAGTCTCACAAGCTGAGCGACCCACGTGGACCTCAAACAGTGACAGAGGTGGGACTCTCGGTGGATGATTTCTTCATACTCAGTCCCTCCCTGTCAGAGTCCTCGTCACCAACGCCCAGATTCATCAGTGACAGAATCCAAAAAAAATCCCAAGCAGGGTCCTCCACACAGGCTCAGGTTTCAGGGGCCCCGCAAGCCCAGAATCCAAGCTCAGAGCCAGGCTCACCTGATCCGGAGGCTCTCCGAACACCACCAGCAGTGACAAAAGGCTAAGTCCACGTCCGAACCCACTTCCTATTTGGCTACTCTAACTTCGTGGTCCCTAGGGATGCAGACCAGCTGGCACCAGAGACCCCCGCGAGGACAGCTTAGCGTTACAGGACTTCCGAGTTCCGACTGTGTGAGACCGGCTCTATGACGTAACATAGCCACGCCCACACCGGGTTTGGCGCTGGAGCGGCCATAACGGCTATAGGAAGAAATCACGATTATTCCCAGCTTTGTCGATGCTTTTACCACCTCATCACGAGGGACCGACAACAATGTCCTGTTACTCGCTTAAGAATTGAGAGATGGGTGCCTATCCAAGGCCAACTTGGCGCGCTTAGCCTGCTGGAGAACAAGGAAAATGGCGGCGCCCTTGAAGTACTATGGGGCTGAGACCATGGGCGGGGCCATGGTAGCCGAAAGGCAGGTTTCCGTACGGCAAATTTGGCTGCGAAGCGGAAGGCTTGCAGAAGCCAGGTATCCTCGGAGAGGTGGCGGTCACAGTTGACAAAACGGTGGTCATTTAAAGGCTTAGGTCTGTGGACAGGGCGGTAGTTAGGAAGTAAATAAGAGAGCCCTTAAAAGGTCGAAATCAAAAGGGCTGAGCGCCATAAAAATGACAATTTCTTGGTGGGAGTAGACCCTTTAGTGGGGAAGGGCATAAAGTGCAGGTGCAAATGTCCGTGTTTCCTAACTAAAATAAATGAAGACGACGGTGGGGCATTTGAGAATATGAAATTAGGAGGTAACACAGTTATTGTACTTTGCATAGTTCCTAACTAAAAAAAGCAGCACACTTTAAAATGTTATTTTAATGCAGATGCGAGAGGTTTGATTGTAGAGGATTTAAGTAGATACAGGTACTTCCTTCATAGAAGACAACCTGGATCCATTTTAAACATTTTATTTTCTTTGACCCAGAGATTCTAATTACAGCAGTTCGCTTGGTAAAAAGTTTTCTTAATATCAATCAGAGCGGGCTTTTGTAATTTTCTAAAAAGGAAAAATCTTAAAGTATGACAAATGAATATTTTGGTAAATTAGGGAACATTCCCTTAGCATAACAGTATACAACAATTAAAAAGAATATACTATTGCCATTATAAATTAAAGAGATAACTGTTATTCGGAGGACAAAAAAAATCAGATCTGCAGGCCAGTATGTATACATATTATAATCCTGTTATGGGAAGTTATGTTTGTCTTTTTGAAAATTGTGATTGATTAAATATTTACTTTGGATTACTTTAGGATTTGCACTCATGACTAGAAAATATCAGAAGTCTGCCCTGGCTGGCATAGCTCAGTGGATTGAGTGCAGGGTGGGAATCAGGCATCGCAGGTTCGATTTCCAGTCAGGGCACCTGCTTAGGTTGCAGGCCATGGCCCCCAGCAACCGCACATTGATGTCTCTCTCTCCCCCCCCCCTTCCCTCTCTAAAAAATAAATTAATTAAAAAATAAAATGTTTCACATTCTCAGTTTTTGCAATTCTGCATTGTAAATATTTATCATTACATGCTACTTTAATATTATAAAAACAGGTTGATTTTATGAAAGTTTTAGAATATTTAATGATGGTATTCATAATACAGTCAAATAAAATAGTCTCATTTTTCATTAAAAATATACTCTTATGCATTTGAAAATTTTGGAAGAATATAGATAACAATGCTTGATTCAGGTACAAATATGGGTGATTTAAAATGTCTCCATTTGCTACCTGGCTGGTATAGCTCAGTGGATTGAGTGTGGGCTCCAAACCAAAGGATCACTGGTTTGATTTCCAGTCAGGGCACATACCTGGGTTGCAGGCCAGGTCCCCAGTCGGGGACACATGAGAGGCAACCACACATTTATGTTTCTCTCCCTTTCTCTTTCCCTTCTCCTCTAAAAAAATAAAATCTTTTTTTAAAAAAGTCTTCATTTGCTTATATGTTTTCTAATTTATATACATTAATTTGTTTTCATAATTTCTTAATAATAAGAGTATTATATTCCTTTCAGGGATTAAATTCAGCCTTATTTACCTGGGATATCAAGTTCTGAAAGATGAGCTCAGCATCTGTTCCAGAAAGCTTAGGGCAGCAGAGGAAGCCCATTCTGGGACCCTGACTGACCAGTTTCAGGAATGAGCTGATGTGATGCCATGATGGGCAGCATATGTATGTTCCACAGGACAAGTGGAAAGGATGAGGGCCTGGGTGGTGGGGCACTGGTGTGATTCTTTGCTGTAGAATATCTGCCCAGAATCCATCCTGATATAGTGTGGGGGTGGTGATGGTAACACTAATCCAGGAATTAAGGCAGAGATGTTAAAATTTAATTATAAATGGGAAAGCTCATTTTACCAAACCAGAGTCCTAGATTCCAGTTGGGAGGTCTGGGGTGTGACTCAAGAATCCACATCTTTTACACTTTTCTTGGAGAATCCTGAGGCAGAAGTTCTAGAAAAACACTTAGGAACAGTCATGGAGTATTTCCAGCTTACAAATACGTGGGCTGGCTCCCCTCAGTACACTTAGGTGTAGTTCAGATAATATCTGCCCAGAAAATGTAGCTCCTCCATTATAATCTATATGCCAGGCTTCATATTTCTTCATAGTACTTGGAAGAACTGACATTCTTTTATGTGTTTATTTTACTCAGTCTCTTTCACTACACTGTATGTTCCATAAAGGCCATGCATTTGCCTGTTTTGTTCACTACTATGTTCCCATTGTCTCCAACAGTGGCTGGAAGAGTGTAGATGCTCAAAAAATATTTTTTAAAGGAGTGAATTACTCAGTATGGAGTTGGAGATTGAATTCTGCCACAACAGTGTATAGCAAAGGCCCACTTCTTTTGCTATAAGTGGGACTCACCATTTATGAACTGGATTGAATATCCTTATTATTTTAAGATAAATACTATGGATAGAGACAAAAGAACAAGAAACCTACTGCTAGGAAAACTAAGAATTTGTCAGCAGACCTGCTCAAAATGAATTGATAACAATAAGTTCTAACAAAACGAAGTAACAGAAGGAAAGATATGTAACACCAGGAATAAAGAAAAAGGAACGGAAAGGAAAAATATATCATCAAATATAACAGGATGTTTTCCTTTTGAGTTTTTAAAATTATGTATGATGGTTGAAAACAAGAATGATAACTTTACCCAATACAGTTTTCAGTGTATGTAGGACATCATTTGCTGTTAGGGAAATGGAAGTTAAGACCATCATTATATACTACCACACACCTGATGGTATGGCAAGAATCAAATGCCAAGTGCTGGGAAGGACACAGAATGACTGAGGCATTCATACACTGCTGCTGGGAGTGTAGTAAATATGTACAGCCACTATGGAAAAGTTTGGCAGTTTCTTATGAAGTTCAACACTAACTTAGCATATGACTCCTTGGTACTTATCCCAGAAAAACAAAACTGGACACACAAGTGTTCATTAACATCTTTATTCATGACAATGAAACACTGGAAACAATCCAAACGTCCATCAAAAGTGAACAGATAAACAAACTATGGTACATCTGTACAAAAAAAAATACTGTTCAATAACAAAAAAGGAAAACTACTTATACACCCAACAAATTGGATGTATCTTGAGGGCAATTTGCTGAGTGAGGAAAAAAAAACAACAGTATCTCAAAGGATACATACATTCCATGTTAAGAGCATTCTTGAAATGACAAAATTAGAGTTATGGAGTATTGATCAGTGGTGGCCATGGGTCAGGGTCAAGGGGACAGTGTGACTATAAAGGGGTAATAGGTAGATGTTTCTTTGGATTGGCACAATTCTGCATCCTGATTGTGATAGGATTTACAAAACTCTACATATGTGATAAAATTTCTTAGAACTCTACACCAAAAAACAAAACAAACAACCACATACAAATGAAAGTATGAATAAACTAGTGAAATCCAAATTAAGGTCTATATTTTACTAACAGCATTGTGTCAATGTCATTTTATTGGTTTTGATGATGTATGATGGTTCTGTAAGGTAATACCAATGAAGAGGCTCAGTAAAGGTACTCAGGAACATTGTATAATTTGTAAATTCTTGTGAATCTAAAACTATTGCAAAGCAAACTTTAGAAAAATCACATTTAAGATATTTTTTAAACTTATATACTTGGATAAATACATAAAATATGTGGAATTACATTTATGAGTATATTCCTTTTACTTTTGAAGTACAAAGTAGTTTGAAAGACATGAATTCAGAGCCTAAGAAATGCAACAGCTAATCATATAATGATATGAGGTGGGCACTCCTGCTTGTAATAATATTAAAATGTTATCAGTGTTGAAAATTGCCTACTTAAAAATTATGGAATCATTGAGAATATGGTTTAAGGTATCCTGTCCTAGAATGGACATTGGGTATATAGTAAATTTAGAGTTGACTTAGAAAACTCAATTATATAACATTTTCATGAAGTTTCTTTCCTTCATGAATTCTCTGATATTTTGCTGAAGTCAATGTACATTAAGTGTATTCCTAACAATTTTATTTATGTATTGATTCATGAGAAATTATGAATTCTATAATATTCTTTGCCATCCGAAAATTGTTCTCCAGCATGACTATAAGGTGACTATTAAGGTTTATTTCTAGGCAAAGTTTTTCTCATGATCATCCCAATGCTACTATGTATGAGCTCACTGATGATCTACTATAATCACTAATGAGATAGTCTTTATTACCATAGAAGGCCTTCCTAGTTTCTCCATTTTTAAGATTTATATTAGCATATACTTTTCAGAAATATAATTAGCTAGAAATATTTCCTCAAGACATTTTCTGCATTGAATGTATTAGTTTTTTTTCCTACATGTTAATTTTGACATAGAGTGTGAGGTACTTGATTGCTGAAGGCTCTAGCACATTCTCTACATTCATTAAATTTTACTCCTATGCAAACTCCATAATTTCCCATTCCTGAAAATCTAGCAGCAGGCTAATCTATACTGACTATATTTAAGTATGCTAGGAGCACACTACACTGAACTATCATAGCTTGCCCCTTACACAAGTTCACATGCATATAATTAATTCAGACCCTGCAAAGGATTATGTACCTTGACCTACACATTTGCTGTATTAATCAGAGTTGACCAGTAAGAGAAAGGTTATCCCAATCACTGAATTCATACAGTCTCTATCTTTTATTTTTATAAGTTCTTTCATGTACAGTGGGTGCCAAATTCATGCTGAAGGTTTTCTCACACTAACTGCATACATACAGTTCGTCTCCTGTGCAACTTCCCTGGTGGGTCATGAGATCAATACTATATGAATAGAGTTTTCCACAGTAAGTACATTCAAAATATGTCTTTCCTGTGTGAAGTCTCTGATTTTGTACAAGGCATATTTTCTTCCTGAAAGTGTGAAATATTCTTTGCATTGTTAGAGTTTGTTCCCAGTATGAGTTCTATGATGCACAAGGAGATTTCTCTTTGAAGAGAAGCCCTTTCCACATTCACTGCACACAAAAGGTTTTTCTCCTGTATGAGTTCGTTGATGGACGACTAGACGACTTTTCACAGCAAACCCTTTCCCACATTCATTGCATGCATAAGGTTTCTCTCCAGTATGGGTTTGCTGATGTAAAATGAGCTCAGTTTCCATGCCAAAGCCTTTTCCACATTCACTGCATACATAGGATTTCTCTCCTGTATGAATTTGCTGATGTACGATGAGATAGCGTTTCATGGTGAAGCCTTTTCCACATTCATTGCACGAAAAGGGTTTCTCTCCAGTATGAGTCCGCTGATGTACCACAAGATTGCTTTTAAAGGCAAAACCTTTTCCACATTTATTGCATATATAGGGTTTCTCTCCAGTATGAGTTCGCTGGTGTAACATCAGCCCACTATTCACGATGAAGCCTTTCCCACATTCACTGCATCTGTACGGCTTCTCTCCAGTATGTGTTCGCTGATGTACAACCAGCCGACTCTTCAAGGGGAAGCCTTTCCCACACTCACCGCAGGTGTAGGGTTTCTCTCCAGTATGCGTTCGCTGATGTATGATAAGCATGCTCTTCACAGTAAAGCCTTTCCCACATTCACCACATACATAGGATTTCTCTACTGTATGATTTCTCTGATGCACAATGAGGTTACTCTTCCTGGGAAAGCCTTTTCCACATTCACTGCACACAAAGGGTTTCTCTCCAGTGTGCGTTCGCTGATGTTCAATCAGACGGCTCTTCATGGTGAAGCCTTTACCACACTCCTTGCATACATATGGTTTCTCCCCTGTATGATTTCGTTGATGTATGAGGACATAGTGCTTCGTGGTGAAGGCTTTCCCACACTCATTGCAAGTGTAGGGTTTCTCTCCTGTATGAGTTCGCTGATGTATGATGAGCATGCTCTTCCCAGTGAAGCCTTTCCCACATTCACTACAGACAAAGCATTTCTCTCCAGTATGATTTCGTTGATGTACAATGAGATTACGCTTCCCTGGGAAGCCTTTTCCACATTCACTGCACACATAGGGTTTTTCTCCAGTGTGAATTCGCTGGTGTTCAATCAGACGGCTCTTCATTGTAAAGACTTTGCCACAGTCACTGCATATAAAGGATTTCTCTTTTTCGTGAATTCTCTGATGTTCATTGAGCCTGGACTTTCTGGAGAATACTTTCGCACAAAGGCTGCACCCATAAGGTTTCTCTCCTGTGTGAACTCTCTTATGATCAGTGAGCTGAGACTTCTTAATGAAGGCTTTCCCACATTCACTGCACATGTGGGCCTTCTCTACTTCATGAGTTCTTTGATGTTTAATGACCCGGGACTTATTGCTGATAAATTTTGCACTGACAGGGAATTTAACTCTAAGATGAAAATCTTCATGCTTGCCATGCTGAAATGATTTTCCATCTCCATTCAGTTTAGTAGAGATCTTAGTTTCACAGCTTTTACTCTGTTTGACCAAACTTAAATTTGAATTCAGAGTTTTTACGTAAAACTCAAACATACCATGATTTTGCCTGAAAGGAAAATGACTTCTGCTTTGAATAACATTATTTTCAAAAGTATTGTGTTTGTGGTTTTGTTCCATACCTTTCAGCATTCTTTTATTTTCCCAGTGATCCTGGAGATAACTGTCAACTTTGCCAGTGTCTAGAAAAGAAGAAAACAATAAATTCTTTTATGAACTTATTTGGAACAAAACTGTTTCTTTTTAAATTGTTTTTTTCTTTTCCTTGGTGTTTTCTTAAATAATGGCACTTCAGTGACAACTCTGTGATAACACTATAAAAGAAACACTGTGTATAAATGTTCTTTATTTATTGCACATTAGTAAAAACACAATAATATAAACAAACCAAAAGGAAAAAGCAGTTAGTATACCATTAAGGATACATAGTTGTCAATTTATGTAAATTTGTCTGCTTTGGGAATTTGCAAAACATGTAGTGGTAGTAGAGTACAAGCAAGTCATTGTTCACAGCAAACTACAGGGTTTGGAGAAACACCATTCTAGAGAACTTGTAAAGACCCAGATCCCAGAGGTGGAAGAGAAAATTAATCCAACTGATGAGGACTGCATTTGTTTAACCCCAAACTACTTACTGAATGGCTCCCACGTACCAGCACTGTGCTGGTGTTTGGAATATATAAAATATACCTTACTTTTACTGATCTTAAATCTAGTGAAAATAGAATAAAAAGGAAAACAACAACAACAAAAGAATGGAATTGAGATTGCTAAACATGGATTAAAGGAGCAATGGAGATGGTGGAAATCAAGATATACTGCATAAAGAAAAGACAAAGTTGAATGACAGGTTCCGCGGGGAGAGTGGTTAATGAAAGTGAGGAATCCCGAATTACTCTGCTAACTATATGACTTGAGCCACCGAATAGGTAGAAGCATTTCAACTCAAATGAGAACTATTACTAAAATCCAGAAAGTGTAGAAAAAGTATGCATTGTGGAACATAAACCATGAGATGATTATTAGATTTGTACTACAGACATCAAGATTGGTTGGAGGTATAAATGGAGATAACAATGTGGAAATGATCATTATATACCTATATTCAAGAAAAGGAGATGGTGATATGTTGAAAGGACATGTAGTATGAAAAGTGATAAAGGTATAAACCAAGATAGACATCACAACAGTTAGGGTTTTGGAATTCCTTAAGGTCCACTTAAAGGCACCAAATTCTGAATACAGAGTCAGAGAAATGCCTACTGAGGTACACAGAATAAACATATTTGTTACCTAGCAACTAAGAATGGAAGGTCTTCAGAATTTGAACTAAAGTGAGCTGAGACAGACTCTTACATCATAATTCTGTTCCTAAGTTGCCCTTCTGTAGACTACCAATCAAGCTAACTTTCCAGAAACATCAATCATATTGAGTGACAACTCGTATAATCAACACGCCAGCCTTTAGTCTAGCTATGTCATATTTTTTGTTTGTTTGTGTTTTTTTTATCCTCACCTGAGGACATTTGTTTTTATTGCTCTGTTAGAGAGAGTAAGGTAGAGAGAAACATCAGTGCAAGAGAGAAGCATTGATTGGTTGCCTCCTGTACATGCCCAGACCAGGAATCATACGCACCCTGACGGGGGATGAAACCTATAACCTAAACATGTTCCCTGACTGGAAATCAAACCTGCAAACTTTCAGTGATGGAACGATGTTCCAACCGAGCCACACCGACCAGGGCTAACTATGTCATGTTATCATATATTCCACTCATAACAAAATAAGGCAGCAGTGATTAATAGGACAACCTGCCTTAATAGGACAATAGGATACACTGGCCAGTGTATCACATAGTCATCTTCAGAAGCTAATATGCTGCATGGGATATGAAAACTGTTACCTTTTTCAGTCACATTCTGCATTCAGTACAAAAGTCATATCCAAAATTTTACCATTTTGATGTCCCTGATGTACTTGTTCCCTCACTTGCCACCAGCAGTACCTACTTCAGTAATTCTACATTTATATCTCCTTGGCAACAGTTAGTTTGTACTAAAGGAACAACTTCCTTCTTGAAGATCTAGGTTGTCTTTATCTTCAGTTTTTCTCACAACGTCTGCTTGTTCCTTATTATTGTTATACTACTAACGCCCAGGTAAAAGTTAAGACAATGTAGAGCTACAAAAATACAAAACCAACTAACTCTCCACCATGCTATCTCAACTACACGTGAAATGCAATCAATCATCCTGGCAATAACAGCGCATATCTCCATGAATACTCCATTGATACATTTCTACTCCACTCCTCCTCCTGCAGAAACTTTCTAAGAGTGGCTTTAATTTGCCCAACTTTAGGCCACTCTTTTGATAGTTAACCCCATGGCCTCACGTGTTTCCTCATGTGTGTCATGCCTTCATTCCTAACTCATAGCATCATCTTCCTAATTCAAAATGTAGACATACTTTATACATATAATGTCATAATTCCTATTCTGACTACCACTATAAGCTCTATTTCCTCTGTTTTTCTAAATTAGTCCCTTTATTATTCATATTTACAGTTACCTTGAGGAAATATTTGACCTCACCCAAAGAGAGGTCTGGTCCTTGCCCTTGGATACTGGGAGGTGATCTCTAGACCTCTGGAATGTCCCACCTGAGAAGAGTGTCTTTGTTTGCCTGGTGGCTTTGGCCAGTCTGACAGTGTGATTTTTGATAGGGCTTTGGGCTAAACCAGATCAGTTATGACCTTTGAAGAAACTGGAGACTATAAGTATAAGCCCAACTTCTATAGAGAGTAAAGGTCAGCCATGGAGGCAATATGTACCTGAGCCCTAAAACAAACTCTGGACAACAAAGGCTCAGGTGAGTTTCCTTAGTTGGCAAAGCCCTTGATGTACTGTCATGCATCCTGGCCAGGAAAAGGTAATCCTGTCCATCAGTCCAGAAATCCCACATTTAGACACTTCCTGAATTCCTTATGACCCTAGGAACATTCTTAGGTATATATCTAGAAAAAATGAAAGCATAAAAGCCAAAAAGTAACAACCCAAAAGTCCATCAATAGATGAATGGGTAAAAAAAAATGTGGCAGATGCATACAGTGGGTTCTTATTTGGCCATAAAAAAAAATGAAGTACTGAAACTTGCTAAAACATAAAAAAAACTTCAAAAAAAAATGCCAAATGAAAGAAGCCAGACTCAAAAGACCACATATTTTATGATTCCATTTATATCAAATACCAAGAACAAACAAATCTATAGAGGTAGAAAACAGATTAATGGTTGCCTACCCTGGGACTTAAGAGAAAGCATTTTTTAAAATTTTCTTATTGATTTTAGAGAAAGGAAGAGGGGGGAGTGAGAGAGAGAAAGAGAAACATCAATGTGAGAGAGAAACATTGATCACTTACCTCCTGTATGCTCCACAGCTAGAGTTCAAACCTACAGCCTAGGTATGTGCCCTGACTGGGAATCAAAACCAAAACCTCTTGGTGTATGGGACAACATTTCAATCAGCCGAGCCACCCAGCCAGGGCAAGAGTGTTTTTTATAAAGTGATAAAGTGATGAAAATCTTCCAAAATTGACTTTGATATGGTTATATAACTGTTAATAAACTACAAAACACTGAATTGTATGTTTAAGTTGACAAATTATAAGGTAGGTATCAATAAATTATCTCAATATAGCTGTTTAAAAAAACCACCAAGAATATATTGGGAAAAACATAGGGAAATTAATAAAACGCTGACACTTAATATGAACTAAAGGAAAATCAGATATATCGAAGGTACAAAGTAAGTAAACTGAGGCAGGCATAAGCTATGATTTGGGCTAGAACTGATATAGGATGTAAAACTGTCTTTTCAAGTTAAACAGTCAACAGAAACACAGCAGGGACCTTTAAAATGAGGGTACCATAGGTGGAGAACATTCTCGTAATGCCAGCATGGACAGGAAAGAAGATATATCCCATACTAAAAGAGACACTAATACTGAAATAGGATGGTGGAAAGGGGTTTTTTTGTGAAAGGAAGATGATTCTTATTGCTCATGAAAAACTTGGAAATCTCAAGCCAGTAAAATATTTAAAACTAACAGTATATGTTAGACAATATTAAAGAAGATGTAAATTTGGAGTCTCCTTCAGAGAAAAGAAAGAGCTTAATTCATGAAACTGGAGGAAAATGTTAAGGATTAAGAATACAGTGGAAAGGGCTTCCAGTCAAGATGGCAGTGTAGGTAAACATGGTACTCAAAACCTCCTACAACCACATCAAAATTACAACTAAACTACAGGATAACCATCATTCATAACTGCCTGAACTCTAGCTGAACATAAGTCCTATAACTAAGGATATAAACAACTAAGGACATCAAGAACAGTAGGAGAGATGGAGACTCACCATGGGCTGGTTCCATACCCAGGTGCAGTGGTTAAAAATTGGAAGGAATATCTCAGCTGCAGAGGTCTCCCCTGAGGAGCCAGGGGTCCCAGGCCTACCAGGGCCCCCAGCCTAGGGTTCCAGTCCTGAGGAAAGAAGTCCGCATAATGTCTAGGTGTGAAAACCAGGGGAGAATGTCCCTAAGTGAAACAAAGGGCTCCTGGAATCCCAGGCAGTTCCTTTTACAGGACCCACATGGACCTACCCAGGCTCACTCTCTCTGAGTTCCAGCACTTGGGCAGCAGCTTAAAAGGCACCAGGGACATACAGGGTTGAGCTAAATTGTCTGTCATCTGAGCAAGAGCTGAAGGGGTAGCTTTCTCCCCGAAGAAGTGCTTGCAGGCGTCAATGTTCCTTTGCTGAGTCCTCCCCCCACTGAGCTGGCAGACAGGCACCATCTCTGAGTCTCCAGCAACCTGGCTAACACTGTTCACCCTGCGATTCCATCAGAACCCACCCCACCCAACTTGTGGGCCCACTCAAGCCCTTTGCAGTGGCTTTCTATACAAATGGCCTGTCTTGGCTCATGCTGCCAACTTTCCTAAAATCTCTCAAACAAGCAGCATCTAGCCTCTGTGTACCACATACCTCTTGCTAAGTGGCCCAAGGCCAGACACTAGTGGCAGCCAGCCTTGGTTCACAGCTTGGCCTCTACCAGGTGCCTCCAAACCCAGCACAAGAAGCAGCCATCAGCAGATCACTTTGTAGCTCATGCCGGCTGGCCCTGGGCAGGGCACAGGTGACGGCTGACCTTGGCCTGTACCTCCTAGGAGACCCCAGAGTCAGCATACCTGGTGGATAATTTCAGATCTCGCCAAAGCACCACCCAACCACCTCCATGAGCAACACACACAAGGAATAAACTCAGTGGATACGGGAGCCCCACTGTAGTGAGTTCTCTCCTGTGGGGCGGGCCCCTGAACAGCAGATCCTCCACAGTGACTGTAGCCAATCCTTGCAGCCGATTCACCTGGGGGTAAATCCCTTCCATTGATGTGCTGTAGGGAACCATTTCACATGGCATGGAAATGTAGCTCAGCCTCTCCTCAACTAGTGGGGACCGAGTTGGCACACAGGATCAAGCCCAAGGAGAGGTTTTCCTATGGGGAATCAGGCCTGAATTGTACCTAGGCCACTATGAGGCTTGCTTTTGCTAGAACTCTCTCACCCTGAATTGAGGCAGCAAGTACTTACTGTAACTTCCTCAAGTCTGTGCTAAACCTCCCAAGTATGGAGTGTAACCAGTTCAACCACTTTTCCTCCTGATCTACAACATCTTTGTCTTTGAAGTAATTAGCAACATTCTTTCCTCTGTTATCTGTAAAAGGTAATCGCCTGCAGTGAACCTGTGTACAGTAAATGAGGACTGTCCTCCATGTAATGTACCCAGAAAAGCAATAAAAGCCTGCCAGGCAGGGGCTGGGGCCCTCTCGCCACCGCCCCGCCACCCGCCCCCCCCCCCCCCCGCCGCCGCTCTCTGAGAGCAGCCATGCCGTCTGTTTTTCTCCACAGGACTTCTGTTGTCTGTGTGTAATTGTTCATTAGCAACCACAACACACAGATCCTGGCCTGCAGGATGAATGTGTCAACAATGATCAAGGCTCACCTACAACAGCAGGGTGCACACAGCCCACAAAGGGTGTGCACTTGAAGTGCCCAGCTCACGTGATTGGGGAAACTGCACCACTGAGCCCTATAGGACACCTACTATATAAGGCCACTCTACCAAGACTGGGAGACATAGCAGCTCTACCTAATACATAGAAACACACAGGGAGGCAGCCAAAATAAAAAGATAAAGAAAGAGGTCCTAAAGCTCCCAAAACTCCAGAAAAAAGACTAAACCAAATAGAGACAAGCAATCTACCAGATGCAGAGTTCAAAACACTAGTTATAAGGATGTCAGATAAAATAAGCAAGGTTCAGTTCTCAGAAAAGACAAAAAAGGGTTTATGTCCCTTTAAAGACCTAAAGAAAAGTTCTGCTGTGGGGAGGGATATGGAGGCAACATTTATGTAACCTCAAATACACTACTGCCCAGCCTACTCTGACTAGAATATGACTTCTGCAGTGACTCATAAGGGGAAGCAGGTTTTGCCATTCCAAAAGATACTTTATGAGATATTGATTATTTTAAGCTATTTTCAACATACAGAAGAACTCATGAAAACTCAGGAAAAACCTCTGATGTTCCCCCTTACTGCCTTTAAGAATTTAGATAGAGGCCCTGGTCCAGGAAGGGCTACATTATCACAGGTAAATGTAGTTTACTACGAGCTAGGTGTGATGGGGAGGAACCTAGCAAGGCCCTGTTGATCCACGTCCTCTCTGTGGCCCAGCAAATGTTTATTTACCAAATACTGGCTTTTCCATCTCCATGTGAATTGACTCCCTCTGCATGGAAGGCCCAAATCACAACCCTCTCTGTCTCCTTATCGTTACCTCAACTGCCTGATTTGTCCTTGGGTGCCATATTCTTATGGAGCCCCTGTATGTACATACATAAGAAATTTGGTTATTTCCTTCTATTAACCTGTTTCATATCAATTTATTGTTAGCCCAGGCAGAAGAATTTAGAACGATAAAAAAATTATTTTCCTCCCCTACACCTGACTTGTTGGTTCTCACCCACTCACCTGGACAGACCAGATTGTGGAGTTCATCCTCTGTTGTACATGGTTCTTCCCCTAGTTCCAACTTGGAGAGAACATCTGGTTTGCTGACTTGATACCCTGTTCACAGGAAATGAGGGAAGACTTGGTTGGGGTCTGTCAAGATAGGAGAATGTTGTGTTTAAGTGACTATAGACAGTTTGCACATGTCAGAGACTCTTCTCTCGGGACAGGGCACATGTGACATCAGTTCCAGGCTCAGAGTTCCTAAAGCCCTCGTAATTTCCTAAGTGAACAGCATGATAGGGGCATCTTTTTTCATAGTCTAAGTTCCAGTTCCTGACACAGAATCTAACTTTCCTGGACTCTCAGGAAAGAGAGTGAGGAGTGTCTTCTGGGTGCTAAGGACATGACTGGTGGCTGAGGGCCCCTAGGTACCTTCAGGGTGGAGCCTGATCCAGAAGGGCAAAGGCATCAGTAGAGGGCTAGAACCTTCAGCTCCAACCCTTCCCTTCATTGTGCAGAGGGAGGGGGCTGAAGGTGGAGTTAATCACCAAAGGTCAAGGATTTAAGCAATCAGGCTTATATAATGGACTGTCCCTAAAACTCTCTAGTCAACTGGGTGAGGAGAGCTTCCCCTTTGGTGACCTCGTGGAAGTGCTGGGAGGGTGGTGTGCCTGGAGAGGGCATGGAAGGTCTGCGCCTCTTACTCCACACTCTGCCCTAAGTGTCTCTTCCATTTGGCTGTTTCGGAGTTTTTTTTACTTTATAATAAACTGATAATGGTAGTAAGTGCCTTCCCGAGTTCTATAAGCCATTCTAGCAAATTATTAAACCTAAGTTGGGACTGGGGGTTGTGGGAACAACCAACTTATAGCCAAGTTGGACAACAGATTTATAGCCAACTTCCACAGAAGTGTGGGTACCCTGGGTACCCAATACTTACAACTAGCATCTGAAGTAAGGGTGGTCCTGTGGTATTGAACCCTTAAACCTGTGGAGTGTGCTATTAACTCTGTGTGGCATCAAAACTGAATTGAATTGAGCTGCAGGACACCCACTTGGTACTCAGAGAGTTGGAGAATTGGTTGTTGGTGTAGAAAGACCCCACACATTTGGTGTCGGTTGTGTTGGTAGAGCTGACAGTATATTAAATCCTTTTATCAGGAGGCACTAAAAATCTGCAGATTGTATTGCACCATTCAGAGCACTGCAGTGACTCCCAAGTATAAGCACCTGGGAAAGGAGAGACGGTGGACTGGGCGCCCTATGAGTGACACCGGGAGCTGTCCTCACCCAGTGACACCAGGTTCCTATAGTTCTCCAACATCACGTCCCTGTACAGGCCTTTCTGGTCAGGGTCCAGGAGCTGCCACTCCTCCCAAGTGAAGTCCACAGCCACATCCTCCAGCATCAGCGACTCCTGTAATAACATGGTCCTATTTAATGGAGTGTTTTATTTTACTGGTTCATAAATAACATAAAGGAAGTTGTTCAGCTCATATTAACAATGATTCTTCCTTCCTCCCTTTCTTTCAGCAAGTGGGGAAAGGAGGGAAAAAGAAAGGGAGAGAAACATTGCTTGGATGCCTCTTACATGCACCCCGACCAGGGATGTGTGCAAACTTGCAACCTAGCATGTGCCCTGATGGGGAATCCAACCAATAACCTTTTGCTTTGCAGAACAATGCCCAACCCACTGGGCCACACCCATCAGGGCTTAACTATAATTCTGACGCCAATTCCAATGTAGTATTTTTTAAACCCACCAACCCCCAAGCAATATTCCAACATCAGCTAGGTTTCCTACAATTCATCTCAGTTCTGACACTCTCTACCTGGAGACAGCATCAGATCCCACAGGTTAAGGGCTCAATCATGTAAGACTGGTCCCCTAACCCCCACTTCAGGTTGTCATCTGTGCTTCTGACTGATCAGCTGTAGTTGAAGGTTCCAATGCCCTCCTTGGGTTTGATTAATTTGCTAGAGCAACGCAGGAAAAAGTTTACTTACTGTTTACCAGTTTATTATAAAAGGATATGATAAAGGATACAGATACACATCCAGATGGAAGAAATGCACAGGGCAAGGTGTTTACCATCTCAGAAGCTGTCCAAACCCTATACCTTCAGGTTTTGTATGGAGGCTCCATCACGTAGCCATGATTGATCATTAACTCTATTTCTAGCCCTTCTCCCCTTTCTGGATAATGGAGTGTAGAGCTGAAAATTCCAAGTTTCTGATCATGGCTTGATCTTTCTGCTGACCAGCTCCCATCTGGGAATCCCCTAAAAGTTGCCTCATTAGAACAATAGACACTGCTATCACCCAGGAAATTTGAAGGCATTTAGAAACCCTGTTAGGATCTGAGGTCAAAGACCAAATATTAGAATAAAAGATGCTCCTAGTATCTTATCACTTAGCAAATTACAAGGATTTTTAGGAGCCCTGTTTCAGAAACTAGGGGCAGAAACCAATGTATTATACATATTTATTGTTATTTCGCAAAAGATTAACATATTAGATACATTAAGGAGATAATCAGTAAACTGGAATATACATTTTAAAAAATAATCCAATCCCTGGTCAAGTAGCTCAGTTGGTTAGAGAGTTGTCCCATATACCAATGTTGCGGGTTTGATCCTCGGTTAGGGCACATACACAAATCAATCAATGAATTTATAAACAAGTAGAACAACAAATCTCTCTCTCAAACCAATAAATCAATGAAAGGAAATAGAAACCAAAATAAAAACTACCCCCCAACATGAAGCAGCCCCACAAAGTGACTGAAAATACAAAGGGAAATTTAATAAATATGGAGGATAAAGAAAGGTCTAATAAAGGTCTGTATGTGGTTTTTGGAAGAGATTATACAGAAACAGAGGAGCATACAAATATCTCAGGAATGAGAAATTTTCAGAACTGATTAAACTTCCTATAACTCAGACTTAGTAAGTCAGCAAAGCCAGGCAGGAAATTTGCATGTAGGCACATCTGGCTGAAACTATATACAGCAGACCAGTTGCAAAAATCAGATTATGAAAACAACCAGAAAGAAAAGATGCATCACTGTCAAAAGAAAAACAAAGTTTACTGAAACAAAGACAACAGAAGCCAGAAAAAAATGATAAACATATTTGGTCTTTGTACCTGGTTCTTGGCACAGTTCTAAAACTCTTGGACTCTCTAGAGTGATGGCTATTTTCTGCATGCTAATGAGCTGACTACCAGCTGGGGGACCCTAGATGGTTTCAGGATGGGGGCTGGTCTCCAGAAAGATCCTCAACCTTGAGGGACTGGAGGTTGAGTTCTATCACCAATGGCCAGTGGTTTAATCAATCACGCTTACACAATTAAACCCCCATTAAGTCCCCTAAACAACAGGTTTGAAGAGGTTTCGGGTTGGTGAGCACACCAAGGTATTGGCTGGGTGGTGCTCCCTAGAGGACCTCTGCACACTTCCCCCATGCCTTGCCCTCTGCATCTCTTCCACGTGGCTAATCCTGAATTACAGCCTTTATAATAAACTAGATGTACATAAAGTGCTTTCCTGATTCTGTGAATCATTCCAGTAAATTGCCAAGCTTGAGAAGGGAGCTGTGGGAACTCCCAAATTTAAAGCTGGTCATTAGAAGTAGAGGTGACAACCTGGGACTTTCAACTGGCATCTAAGTGAGGAGAGTTTTGTGGGACTGGGCTCCTAACCTGCAGAATCCGATGCTACCTCCAGGTAGTTAATGTTGGATTTGAGTTGAATCGTAGGACACCCAGCTGGTCTCCCGAGAGTTGCAGAGTGGGTACGTGTGAGAAAAATACCCACATATTTGGTGTCAGAAGTGTTGTGAATAAAAACAGCTCAGAAATGTGGAATATTTTCAATGTCCTGATCTTGTGGTCCTGCAGCCTAGGCCCAATGTCACCAGAAAATGAATTGAGATCTGCTTGTCAACTGAATGCCAGACAGCAGAAAACTATGGGATAATCTATCCCCACATTATTGCAGAAATTACTACATAGAAAACAGAACAGAACAGAACAGGTAGGGGCTGCAAATTCTTAACCCTGCTGATCTGATCACATCTGATCTGAGTTATTTCATGTGAGATGCAGATCCATTTGGAAAAACAAAAACTTAGGTTCGAATACCTTTTTCCTGTTTAAAGTGCTAACCATAAAACAAAAGAATCTATGAAAGCAAAAGAGAGAGGAGAATATGATTGAAGTATGTTCATGTCACAAGCCAAAAAAAAAATCACAGAAAATAAGCAATAAGTTTTGTGACAGGAAAAATTAAAACATCTGAGTTGAAAAGATAGCATGGGCAAAGCTATAAGAAAACTGACAAGCTAGAAAAATATTTTTAATAAACAAAAGGATCAATATATACTGGATATGAACAACTCTTAATAATCAGTAAAAAAGTAGTTTTTTAAAAATGTAAAAATGATAAGGACAGGCATTTCACAAGAGAAAAAAATACAAGTGTTCAAAAAATATACAAGGATTTCAATCTCACCCATGCTGAGGAAAATGTAAAATAAGGCTAAAGAATATCCGGCCATGCCCTGGCTTGTGTGGCTCAGTGCAATGAGCACTGGCCTATGAATTGAAAGGTCACCTATTCGATTCCCAGTCAGGACACATGCCAGGATTGCAGGCTAGATCCCTGGTTCGGGGCGTGTAAGAGGCAACCAATCAATGTTTCTTTCCCTCTCTTTCTGCCTCCCTTCCCCTCTCTCTAAGAATACAATCTTTAAAAAGAAAAAAAAAGAATATTTGTCCATTCAGATGACTGAAAGTTATGCAATTTTATAGTGTCCTATTATTAAGTACTGGCAAAGACTGAAGGTATGGATGATCCCACATATCATTTACTATGTAGCCAGCACTCATTTAGATGCTTTACATAGTGTAACTCATTTTTTTTTTTTAGTATGACTGTGGACAACTGGAATTTTATATAGTTAATATACACCAATCAAGTGCAGTCATTATTCCTTTAGATGCTTAAATTATACCATCATAGCAAACGGGTTATATTATTTAAAATATGGGTCCATTGATACACACATGTTGTAACATATGTGTTGGTATAGTTGGATATGTACATAAATCCACATACATTTGTAAATAAGCACATATATATATAAGTGCACACACATGTTTAGTGACAGCAAGACACACTAGCAAACATCTGTTAAAGCAGTTTGAGGGGACAACAGGGAAGGATACTATGAAAGGGGAATTCACTTTTTATGCCCACGTGCACTTACTCCGTCATTAATATTTTTTCTTTAAAATGTAAATGAAAATAAAAGTAAAGAAAGGAGTGCAGAATTGGATTTGAAAATGGGGAAGAATTCTGCATTTTATAAGATGATGTAAAGTTATAAAGCAAACACCCTAAAACCCAATAATCCAAGCTCTTACCAGACAAAATTTCTTACAGCTATCCCAGGCCAAACCTGAACTTTCATGGCAGTTCAGCTACCTGTTGATGGAGGACCATTTGAAAGCCATACAATCCTCCCATTTTCCTAGGCCATTTAGGTTTTATTTCATCATAAACCCAAAGAAACTCAATGCTGAGTGAGTCCTTTAAGTGACTTGCATTGGTCCCCTAATAACATTGTCTTCACCGAGTTTGCGTGGTTTCTTCCCACATGGGTCTCTGAGGAACCCTAAAATAAATAGCAGTACAAAATCTGCTTCTGCTTTTACTAGAAGTTCAAAACACTGTCCACCCCATCACCTCTAAGAACATAACATTTTTCCTGAGATCTGCATGTCATGAAACATTGATACCCCCTGAGGAACCATCTCCTATCTCCTCACTGCATTTGATACATATCCTGTAACAGCACAATTCTGTTGTGTTAGCTGCCACAGACACTAGATACAAGCTGACAGCTAATGTAACTAGAGAATCCTTCAGTTACACTCTACATTCTAACGTTAGTTAGTTACTCAGAATCATATGAATTCTACATTCTTTGCCATGATTTTAGATTAGATTCCATGTTTATTTCACTCTAGATAGTGAGCTAATTTTTACAGGTCTCTACAAATCTATTAGGAAATAGAAAAGAGAATAAACCTAAAGTCACCTGAGCCTGGATCATTTTCTTCTGTTTTAGGAAATGGCCGGCAACTGGTATACTTTTATCTTTGTCTTCTTTGATACGCCCTAATTTCTAGTTAGAAATCTCACTATCCATTCAACAGTGTTCCCAGAAGGGGCAATATGTAGGTCTTGGAACATTTTCCCTCTTCATTCTTTTCTTATCTCTTGCCAAAACCTGTGGGATGAAGGGCAAAATTACTTTCAGGGTTACATTCCCCTTGCTGTGTGCTCACCTTAACATATAGTTCCAAGTATTCCCATCTCTTTATTTGGTTCCCTAGAGATCCTACCTCAGG